GCAGCGCTCCTAGTGGCCTGGGACTTTAATGCAGGGAAACTTAAATCCGTTCTACCTAATTTCTACCAGCATGTTAAATGTGCAACCAGAGGAAAAAAAACTCTAGACCACCTTTACTCCACACACAGAGATGCGTACAAAGCTCTCCCTCACCCTCCATTTGGCAAATCTGACCATAACTCTATCCTCCTGATTCCTGCTTAAAAGCAAAAACTAAAGCAGGAAGCACCAGTGACTCGGTTAATAAGGAAGTGGTCAGATGATGCAGATGCTAAACCACAGGACAGTTTTGCTAGCACAGACTGGAATATGTTCCGGGATTCTTCCAATGGCATTGAGGAGCACACCACATCAGTCACTGGCTTCATCAATAAGTGCATCGATGACGTCCCCCCCACAGTGACCGTACGTACATACCCCAACCAGAAGCCGCGGGATTACAGGCAACATCCGCACTGAGCTAAAGGGTAGAGCTGCCGCTTTCAAGGAGCGCCCTCCGACGAACCATCAAACAGGCAAAGAGTCAATGCAGGACTAAGATTGAATCATACTACACCGGCTCCAACGCTCGTTGGATGTGGCAGGGCTTGCAAACTATTACAGACTACAAAGGGAAGCACAGCTGCGAGCTGCCCAGTGACATGAGCCTACCAGACGAGCTAAATCACTTCTATGCTCACTTCGAGGCAAGCAACACTTAAGAATGAATGAGAGCATCAGCTGTTCCGGATGACTATGTGATCACGCTCTCCGTAGCCAATGTGTGTAAGACTTTTAAGCAGGTCAACGTTCACAAGGCAACAGGGCCAGACGGATTACCAGGATGCATACTCCGAGCATTCGCTGACCAACAGGCAAGTGTCTTCACTGACATTTTCAACATGTCCCTGACTGAGTCTGTAATACCAACATGTTTCAAGCAGACCACCATAGTCCCTGTGCCCAAGAACACTAAGATAATAATATAATATAATATGCCATTTAGCAGACGCTTTTATCCAAAGTGACTTACAGTCATGTGTGCATACATTTTTACGTATGGGTGGTCCCGGGGATCGAACCCACTACCCTGGCGTTTCAAGAGCCATGCTCTACCAATTGAGCTACAGAGGACCACATAACCTGCCTAAATGACTACCGACCCGTAGCACTCACGTCTGTTGCCATGAAGTGCTTTGAAAGGCTGGTCATGGCTCACATCAACCCCATTATCCCAGAAACCCTAGACCCACTCCAATTTGCATGCCGCCCTAACAGATCCACAGATTGCACTCCACACTGTCGTTTCCCACCTGGACAAGAGGAACACCTACGTGAGAATGCTATTCAATGACTACAGCTCAGCGTTCAACACCATAGTGCCCTCAAAGCTCATCACTAAGCTAAGGACCCTGGGACTAAACACCTACCTCTGCAACTGGATCCTGGACTTCTTGACGGGGCACCCCCAGGTGGTAAGGGTAGGTAACAACACATCTGTCACGCCTATCCTCAACACAGGGGCCCCTCGGGGGTGCGTGCTCAGTCCCCTCCTGTAGTCCCTGTTCACCCATGACTGCATGGCCAGGCACGACTCCAACACCATCATTAAGTTTGCCGACGACACAACAGTGGTGGCCTGATCACCGACAACGATGAGACAGCCTATAGGGAGGAGGTCAGAGACCTGGCCGTGTGGTGCCAGGACAACAACCTCTCCCTCAATGTGACCAAGACAAAGGAGATGATTGTGGACTACAGGAAAAAAAAGAGGACTGAGCACGCCCCCATTCTCATCGACGGGGCTGTAGTGGAGCAGGTTGAGAGCTTCAAGTTCCTTGGTGTCCACATCACCAACAAACGATCATGGTCTAAACACACCAAGATAGTCGTGAAGAGGGCACGACAAAGCCTATTCCCCCTCAGGAGACTGAAAAGATTTGGCATGGGTCCTCAGATCCTCAAAAGGTTATACAGCTGCACCATCAAGAGCATCCTGACTGGTTGCATCACCGCCTGGTATGGCAACTGCTCGGCCTCCGACCGTAAGGCACTACAGAGGGTAGTGCGTACGGCCCAGTACATCACAGGGGCCAAGCTTCCTGCTATTCAGGACCTCTATACCAGGCGGTGTCAGAGGAAGGCCCTAAAAATTGTCAAAGACTCCAGCCACCCTAGTCATAGACTGTTCTCTCTGTTACCGCATGGCAAGCGGTACCGGAGCGCCAAGTCCAGGTCCAAAAGGCTTCTTAACAGCTTCTACCCCCAAGCCATAAGACTCCTGAACAGCTAATCATGGCTACCCTGACTATTTGCATTGTCACCCCACCCCCTCTTTTACGCTGCTCCTACTCTCTGTTTATTATTTATGCATAGTCACTTTAACTCTACCCACTTGTACATATTACCTGAATTACCTCGACCAACCTGTGCCCCCGCACATTGACTCTGTACCGGTACCCCCTTTATATAGCCTTGCTACTGTTATTTTATTTTACTGCTGCTCTTTAATTATTTGTTATCTTAATTTTTTACGTATCTATTTTTTACTTAACACTTATTTTTCTTTAAACTGCATTGTTGGCTAAGGGCTTGTAAGTAAGCATTTAACTGTAAGTTCTACACCTGCTGTATTCAGCGCATGTGGCAAATACAATTTGATTTCATTTGATTTAACATTAATGCTTTAAGCACTCGTTTTGGAACACTTAGTGTTGTCCTCACAAGCCACGACTGCTTGATTTGGGACTTCATTAAGAACTTAGGCCGAAAATAAATGACGTGGTTTCAGTTATAGGGAGTGAGTTTTTTTACACTGACCTATTTTGTATGGTACTCACGGGTCCATGATGCCTGGAGGTACGGAGATCAAACTGAAGCCTGCTGGAATTTCCCCTTAAACCCCTCAAGTGTTGCTTTAGCAGTATACTTAGAGTCATTGTCCTGCTGGAAGGTGAACCTCCTTCCCAGTCTCAAATCTCTGGAAGACTGAAACAGGTTTCCCTCAAGAATTTCCCTGTATTTAGCGCCATTCATCATTCCTTCAATTCTGACCAGTTTCCCAGTCCCTGCCGATGAAAAACACACATGATTAATGCCTCCTTGCCTGGTCCGTGAGTTTTGGTGGGCGGCCCTCTCTTGGCAGGTTTGTTGTGGTCCCATATTCTTTCCATTTTTTAATAATGGATTTAATGGTGCTCCGTGGGATGTTCAAAGTTTCTGATTTTTTTTTATAACCCAACCCTGATCTGTACTTCTCCACAACTTTGTCCCTGACCTGTTTGGAGAGCTCCTTGGTCTTCATGGTGCCGTTTGCTTGGTGGTGCCCCTTGCGTAGTGGTGTTGCAGACTGGGGCCTTTCAGAACAGGTGTATATATACTGAGATCATGTGACAGATCATGTGACACTTAGATTGCACACAGGTGGACTTTATTTAACTAATTATGTGACTTCTGAAGGTAATTGGTTGCACCAGATCTTATTTAGGGACTTCATAGCAAAGGGGGTGAATACATTGCACGCACCACTTTTCCGTTATTTACTTTTTAGAATTTTTTGAAACAAGCAATTTTTTTTCATTTCACTTCATCAATTTGGACTATTTTGTGTATGTCCATTACATGAAAACCAAATACAAATCCATTTAAATTACAGGTTGAAATGCAACAAAATAGGAAAAACGCCAAGGGGGATGAATACTTTTGCAAGGCACTGTATCTATTCATATTGCTTGGTTCTGATTGATTTTCACAGTAATATGGGCTGAATCCTGTACGATTGAGATGAGGATAAACTGGATTGAAGATGCTAGGAATTATCAGAAGAAAGAGGAGTGAAAGAGGAGTGAAAGGGGAATGAAAGAGGAGTGAAAGGGGAGTGAAAGGGGAGTGAAAGAGGAGTGAAAGGGGAGTGAAAGGGGAGTGAAAGGGGAGCAGTCCTCAGTTCCCATCAATCCTACAGGATCACAGAGTAGCTATAGCTAGGCACTTAAACAAGGCCAGAGCGAATCTCACCAATTCCACCGGAGTGTCTTCATTTCGTACACTGAACTGCCCAAAGATAGTCTGGTCTCTTTTTACACCTGTACAACTGAGGTGAGAGATGTGAGGGCATTGTGTTGCTTTGTTTGAAATATAACAAGAAAGGGAGATGAAAAAACCTCCCACCAGCATTTTGTCTTGCTATGGAAGTCCAATTAAATGGAAATGTGGAGCACAACTTCGGACGCCTTGCTCCGGCCAAACACCATGCCACGCCCACGGACACTAGTTTCTTCTCTGCGATGACTACCTCTTGAGTACCTCCCCGATGATTTCTAGAACGCAAACACATTCTAACCATTCTGATTGGTCCCAGAAACCAATGAGTTAGGCCAGACCCAGAACACAAGTGGGTAAAGCAACGTTTTGATACTCTGATTGGTTAGAGATTATCCAACCGCTGATGACTTTGTTTTGTACAACACCCCTCATTTTCAGGTCACCACAAACGACTTCAATAATAATAATAATATGCCATTTAGCAGACGCTTTTATCCAAAGCGACTTACAGTCATGCGTGCATACATTTTTGTGTATGGGTGGTCCCGGGGATCGAACCCACTACCTTGGCGTTACAAGCGCCGTGCTCTACCAGCTGAGCTACAGAGGACCACAATGTCAATGATGACAGTCTCAGACTGAAGTATGTAGCGAACATTGAGCAGCGGAATAGTTCAGTGTGAGTCGTCAGGCAATGACTTTGGGGCTTTGGAAGAATAAGAGCCCCTTTGGGCACTTGGTTGCAGCTCAGTTATCAAAACAATAACAAATGCTGCTTTGAATCACAAGGCTCCACAATTCATTAACCATGAAGGAGCTGGCTGGATTGACGTAATGGCTGCTGCAAAAGACTAACTATTTTCTGGTGTTAATTTTCTCCCCATTCTGAGTCCAAGGGTGTCTTCTTCTTTTTAATATTTGAATGCCTTTTTGGATCATTACCTCCTTTGGATTTCTTCTGCTTCCTCCAGTGTGTGAGATCAGAAGTCCAGGGTGTTATGCTGGTAGTGCAGGCGAGGGCTATTGTCGCTGTAGAACTGACTGAACCAGCGCCTGTGTTTCTGGATGGCAGAGTCCTCCTTCACCAGCAGGGGTTTAGAGATGTACTTCTTATTGTTCCAGATCATCACATCCCGCTCAAACTGGGACACAAAATAGTCTGAACAAAAAGGGGTTAGTTACACATCTGAAATAAATAGTGATGAATCTGAAAAGAATGTTCACATAAAAAGCAAAAAATTGCCAATTAGTGACTTTTTAAGTCTACCATATGAAAAGTTTTATTCCAAAACGTTATTCATCCATTTTCAGAAATGTTGGTAAATTAGCTTTTTTGTTTTGTTAGGTTCTGAACAAACAGAGTAAAAACTCAAACAGACAACTAGAAAAAGCTCAAACCAAGTTTATTCAACCCGCTGGGTGCTTCAGCTGCAAACACAAGCACATATTATACCTTCTGACTAGGCGGAGTTACTCCTTGCATGTCTAAGATAAACACTTGTTCTCTGTTTTTAGGCAGAAACACAGTAGTGGTATTGTCATGGCCCTGCCTAAGTCTAGGACCCTCATGGGCGTGGAAATGTGTGTGTGTGTGAGATAGAACTGTAATCAGATGGTCTTCGGAGTGGACCCATGTGGCCCCCCTTCCAGCAGTGTCTTCGCTCTTCAACTGTTGACCTTATCTCGAGTTGAGTTCAACATCCCTCATGGTCCTAGTTCCTCAGCAACTGACCTGCCTCATCAAGAATTGAAACTAGACTGTTGCCCTTTGCCTCCCTCCTTAGGAACATTCATATTCAACAATAACATATTTGAACAGAATATGAACTTTCTGCACCTTTTCTCACTCAGTAACTTTCCATACACAAAGTTCTTCTTTACCCTTCCTTGACCCCCAACATATACATTCCTTGTACATGTAAAGTAATCACTAAGTTCTAGTATGGTAACATGAATAAGTATATTTCAAGCTAGAATCCAACAGTTTAATGAACTTATGGAAGAGACTGGTGTGTTTCCCCCCATCTAATCATGGCATGGGGTTGTTAAATGACAGACATGTATTTGTTTAATTTCAGAGAGGCAAGCAATCACATTTTGATGCAAAATGAGATGTACCTACCTCACTCTCAGAGAATAAAGTATAATTGCAAGGGATTACACAGTCAAATGTGACAAATAATTACATTTTTAATAAAGAACTGTACAAATGATTTGTGACATAATACAATAATATGAGATCTGGGCTCTGGTCAAAAGTAGTGCACTATATAGGGACTAGGTTGCCATTTGGGACAAGGCCTAACTCTAACCAAACAATATAGCATGAGGCTAGATTTATGATGTGTTGAATTTAAACAGTATGTTAAATATACAGGATACGAACATTCCATTCCAGCTAACAATGGGTGTATGGCGTTTTGCAACCAAATCTATGAATTAAAAACCTGAGAACAGTAATATTTTACACAAACATAAAAGGTACCCATGAGCATTAGTTTCTGATTAAATACACAAAAGTGATGAATTGGTGGATATAGCGTTTTGGAAATAAACTTCATATATTCTACCATATATTCACCAGATTATGATCAATTGAATTTGATTAATGCCAAATATATGGGGTTAAAAAACAAACAAGTTTCCTGATCTGTCTTATATTTTTCAGATATAGGAGAGACACTTGATATTTTTTTGGGACTATCTGTTGTTCCATGTAGTGAATTTGTTATTCAATGCGTTTGTATGGGCTAATAGCAGTAAGGCCCATTTTTTTAAAAATCTAATACTGTAATTTTTTTAGATATCTTTTTTTTATACTTCAAGGGGTCTTAAAATTGTACATCAAATAGCTAAATGATCCTTGGCATGACCTTCTTAAAACAATTCCATATAGATTAGGGCTTAGACTTTGAGGGGTTAAGGATACTAATAAGGTGTATGAATTGACATGCATATGATATTCGTGGTGTTTGTAATATGATGTACCACATTGAGAACGGTTTGATCATTGGCTGTACTGGTAGAAGATGGAGTGGGATACACTGCAGTAGAGGCTCCACTGCAGTGTGTGTGTGTGTGTGTGTGTGTGTGTGTGTGTGTGTGTGTGTGTGTGTGTGTGTGTGTGTGTGTGTGTGTGTGTGTGTCCGACACAGGAAACTGTGGTCAAACAGCAGGAACACCAGCCCTGGACCCACCTGGAATACAGACATACTGTATATTATGGACACATACACATTATGTGCGTGTAAAAAACATAGTGTATACACAATTCTGGGTGGAGCTAAATTGACCATGCATCAACAAATGTAATTGGCTTATATTGCTGGGCACATCAGACTGAAACACTGTTATTGATACAATACTATGATGAATGTTATTTGCTTTCTATGATGAGTGTTTGGATACTATTTCATGTTCTGTCTCTACAGCAACCAGGGACCACACTCTCCAACCCCAGTTGACCTAACACAGAGTTATAGGTCGTCTCCACACTGCCAAAGGGCTTGTTCAGCATCATCATAGTGGCTGAGGCAGCTTGTTTGGAAGCAGCCGTGTACACAGATCCAAAGCACAGTCAAGTGAAAACAAGAGGTGACAAAGCTGTCTGAATGGCCAGTTTATTCCTTGGAGACGGTGATATATATCTAAGCTGACGGAGAGGCTAAAACCAAGAGCAGTCTTGGCACTGGGTGGCCTTGGCTGACACACTTGTTGACAATGATGACTTCAGCTGTGTTTTATGACTGAATGCAGCACCCTAGGGTCATCATTTTCAGAACACTATCTAGTGCTGCCCTGGGGGCAGTCTGTCTGATTGTCTGTCTGCCTGTCTTTCTGTCTGCCTGCCTGTCTCTTTTTGTGAGTGATCATCTGTTCCTGTCGAGCCACTACATCCACGTCCAGTTGAGGCCAGTGGCCACCAAACACAGCAAGGGCATGTTTCACCAGCATCTGGGAGCAGTGGTTAGTGGGCTCAGATTCAGAATCCCATTGCACTTTGAACACGCACACACACACGCTCCATCAAGTATTTGTAAGGACACACCATTGAGGCACCATTTAAAGAAGTTCTAAACGTATATATAACTAGGGCCCTGAGTGGCATGGTCACATGGTCAGGAAGCCCTTACCTTCCAGTCATGCCTCACAAACTCCCAGGTCTTGCTATTGGTGTAGCGCAGGTCAACCCCACTTACAATGCCTGGTGTGTGCAGGTGGGCCAGGTGGGCAAAATCTTCAACATTCTCAGGGATCTCCTACAGGGGAAGTCACAGAGAGGAACAAGCACAGCTGGCTTTCTCTTTATAAGACAAAATAACACACACCTAAAGTAATGGTAAAAAAAAATTATGTAAAAGACCAAAATAAAGTATATCACACACATATCTACAACAGAAAACAAACCTCTATGTTTGTGTTGATGAAGTACTCAGTGCATCCCCGGTAGACCCATTCCCCATGTGTGAGCTCCCCCTGCTCTGGTACCATCCAGCCGGGTTCCTCTCCGTCACAGTGGAACCACACCAGAACCTGACCGTTGGTCTCCATACTGGGCCAGCAGCGCACCTTGGCAAACTCTGGCATCAAGGATCCACAGAGGGAAAAAACACCAAATTATTATATTTCAACCTACTTTTAAATTTAAGACATTACACTGTTTATAATCTCGGTACCTAGAACCAAATCAACTACTAATGTTAAGGCTGTCACAAAAGATTGCATAGTTGACAGACATAGAACCTAAGTTATAGAATCAGCATTTTACTCTTTGACGGACAGCTAAAAAGTATGTGAAAAGGCTGCATTTCTCTTTAAATCCACAGGATGTCACCAGTAAACAGATCAGGAAGCTTTAGGCACATATACCACATTAAGCCACGGCCCTGCCCTGCGTAGTGAGCCATCAGATTGAGACAGCATGGGATTGGAGCCGGGACCAGAGGCCAAGCAGCAACCCATCTGGCTCAGCCCCCGACTGTGACCCCAGGTAGCTAAGATTACCTTCAGATTGAAGACGCCCGACTGTCACTAAGGTTAAGATACAGCGGCCCTGGGAATGCTAGGAAGTGAGAAGGCACTCCTGGTTAAACCCTTGGAACCCAGGATAACGCCCTGTTGCCCCAAGGAGAGCAGCTAAGTAGAGCACACCATGACTGTAAACACACTGGCTGCAGAACAGAATTAGACAGCATGCAAAAGTTGACTGTGATAGATTGAGAAGAGTGTCCTAGACTGACTGTGTACTGACTAAAACGGTGTAACTGGACTGACAGATTTCAGGGCTAAATGAATAGACCACAACGGAACATATCAAATATTGGTTTGGGTCAGCAGAATCCGGGACAGGCTCTTACTGTTGGCTGGAAAACTGGCACAGAGGAATCAACGAGGAAAACTGATTGGATTTGCAAAAAGTCATCAACGTAAGGGAAATGCATCTTCTTTTCACCCAATGACACAGTGATTTATTTTTTGGATTTCACGTTGAATTCACATTAGTTGACAACTAAACCAAATGTCAATCAAAACTAGACATTGAAATGACATCTGTGCCCAGTGGGAACTGAGCATAAATCATTTTAGACAAGGACATTTTGAAACATAAATGCAGTAAGAATCTTTTTTTAAAAGCTGAGACAAATCTTACATTTTACAAGGGCAAACCATCATTAATTTGATATGTTTGCTAAATGTAACACATTCGCAGTTATGAATGCAGTGGTTTCAAGAACATTTGGCCAAGAGCATGCAATAGCGCATTCAAATATCCTGTAAACTAATGGTATTCAAACTTTTTCAGCAGGGACCCCAATTTTTTTCACAAACATTTCTCAAGACCCCACCCCAAATTTAATGACACAACTTTTCAGTAAATTACGATTTTTATGTCAACAGATAACCCTCAATTCATTACATTTCTCTTAAAATTACTATTCTTATTTTAAATATATGTAGCTCTGTCCTTGAGCTGTTCTTGTCTATCAATGACTTTGTGTGAACCCAAAAGAAGAGTAGCTGCTGCATGAGAAACAGCTAATGGAGATCCTAATAAACAAACGAACAAAATGTATTTTCAAAAAAGGTTGTATATTGTCCCATACAATAATCTGTACTCATGAAAACATTTATATTAACGTGGCGACCCCACTGCAATTGTCACGACCCCGACTTTGAATACCACTGCTGTAAACTGTTGCAAAATGGGTATGATGATCAAACCCATTTGTACAACATAGCCACATACGGAACAGGAGAAAACAGAAGTTCAAATTGGTTCAGAGCCACATCAGTAGAATAAAAAGGGAAAATATCATAAATATTATACAGACATAGAAGCACTGTACTCGGAATCATCAGGTTTCACCTAGTCATCAACAGCTTCTAGTTAGTTTCCTCATTCAGTCTAATCTCCCTTTTCCCAACATTTCCATGTGCATACCTGTCATTGTTTGGGACCAGATGGTAATGCTTTCACTGCATATTCCTCCAGTTACTCCCATGAGACTGTGCTTGGTGGGGGGGATTGGTGAATCATACGCCTGGGGAGAATTGAAGAATGATTCATCCCATAACAGGGGGAGATTTATGGAACTTTCACTGATTAAATCAGCACTTTTTCCCAGTATGGCAGTATACACTGTCAATACAAAGAGAATGTGGAGAGATGGAGGACTATCCAATTTTATTTTTGTTCCTTTAAAGGAGCTGTGGCCAAAATTTCAACAATTACTGGTCTCCTTTTAATCTTCATTTACACTGTGTATACCAAACATTAGGCACCTTCCTAACATTGAGTTGCACCCCCCCCCCCCCACCCATTCCACATGGATGCTGGCACATGTTGACTCCAATGCTTCCTACAGTTGTGTCAAGTTAGCTGGATGTCCTTTGGGTGGTCGACCATTCTTGATACACACGGGAAACAGTTGAGTATGAAAAACCCAGCAGCGTAGCAGTTCTTGACACAAACCGGTGCGCCTGGCACCTACTACCATACCCCGCTCAAAGGCACTTAGATCTTTTATCTTGCCAATTCACCCTCTGAATGGCACACATACACAATCCACGTCTCAATTGCCTCAAGGCTTAAAGATCCTTCTTTAACCTGTCTCGTCCCCTTCATCTACAATTGATTGAAGTGGATTTAACAGGTGACATCAATAAGGGATCATAGCTTTCACCTGGATTCACCTGGTCAGTCTATGTCATGGAAAGAGTAGGTGTTCTTACTGTTTTGTATACTCAGTGTATAGTCAATACTGTAGGTGTGAATCAAATACAAATAACACTGAAGTGGAGGGCCAAGGGTGTCATTTGAGGTTTGACAGACAACACAACAAGACTTTGCCAACTCCTGTGTCCTAGTCTGCAGAACTAAAACAGTTGATTTAGCGAATCAGTGGGTCTGTTTGACAGGTTGTGACTTTAATTAATGCCACCCACTCACCTCAATTGGCCTAATCTTGGCCCTTGAATAGAAGTATATCAGCATCACAATGCATTGGTGTGTGACGAGCATTAGACTTGGAGGTCGGGTAGCTAAGGTGTGTTGTCAGACTTGACCCACAGTAGAGGCTTGGGCAACCAACCAAACACTTGGGCATCCAAGACTAGTCCTGCCAAAACACTGCCCTCCGCCTCCTGTCCATCTGCTTTATGTACTGAAAAACTGCTTCATCAGCACCACCTAGAAGTCAGCATTTACTGATTTACGGACTGAGTCACTGCTGTCACAGGTCAGCACAGACCACAGAGACACACAGCAGGGTTTCAGGTGATACAGAGTCCCAAAGGCAGCTTAATGACCACCAGAGTTGTACAACTAGACATTTCCCACGTATAAGGTCTGTAAGGTATCAGATAACAGCCAAAATAATTGAGTAACTTAAACAAACAGTGACCATGGCATCCACCTCCAGGATAATGAAGCAAACACACATTGTTGGTGATCAGGTACCAGTGAACAATGAGGAGGTTGGGTTTTCAGATTAAATGTTTCCTATCAGCTAAGATATCAACTGTATCTTGTGGCAGTTGGTTATCAAAGGCAGGCAGGTAGATTATTTGAAACTTTCACTACAAAACCAAATGGGCCTTTCAACATGATAGGGGGTCTCCTGCCTTGGCTAATGCTAACTGCACAAGAAAAATGAACAGATGAACAGTGAACCATTGCAATGACAAGCGTGAGTGCATATCATACAATCTTCATTACATGTGTTCAAGGATCTGTGTCTGTTGGATTGTTGAAACCTGTCTTGGCAAGTTCTTAAGATAACACATATTTAAAGAAAAACTATTCAAGATGGCAGAGAACTGATTAACTTAAAAATGTGTGCAGTCAACTAAAAGACATGTAATTATTTTCATCATTTTTCAGTATAAACAATTTCTTGCATAATCATTTAGAAATCCAATCATAATATTGTGTCAAACCACGTTTGCACAAATATTGCAGCACAGTTCTGCATTAATGTACCTACTTCTGTGACTAATATAGTGCCTTCAGAAAGTATTCACACCCCTTGACTTTTTCCACATTTTGTTCTGTTACAGCCTGAATCAAAAATTTATTAAATAGTGTGTCACTGGCCTACACACAATACCCCATAATGTCAATGCAGAATTATATTTTTAGAAATGTTTACAAATTAGTTAAAAATTAAAAGCTGAAATGTCTTGAATCAATAAGTATTCAACCCATTTGTTATGGCATGCCTAAATAAATTCAGGAGTAAAAATATGCCTAAAAAGACACATAAGTTGCATGGACTCACTCTGTGTGCAACAACAGTGTTTAACATGATATTTTAATGACTACCTCATCTCTGTACCCCACACATACAATTAATTATCTGTAAGCTCCCTAAGTCAAGCAGTGCATTTCAAACACAGATTCAACCACAAAGACCAGGGAGGTTTTCCAATGATTCACAAAGAAGGGCACATATTGGTGGATGGGTAAAAATGTAAAAAGCATACATTGAAAACATATTTCAAAATATGCATCCTGTTTGCAATAAGGCACTAAAGTAAAACTGCAAGAAATGTGGCAAAGAAATTAACTTTATGTCCTGAATACAAAGCATTATGTTTGGGGCAAATCCAGCACAACACATCACTGAATACCACGCTTCATATTTTCAAGCATTGTGGTGGCTGCATCATGTTATGGGTATGGTTGTCATCGGCAAGGACTAGGGAGTTTTTTTAGGATTAAAATAAATGGAATAGAGCTAAGCACAGGCAAAATCCTAGAGGAAAATCTGGTTCAGCCAAATATACACTTTAAAAAAGATTGTGCAAATATTGTACAATCGAGGTGTGCAAAGCTCTTACAGACTTACCCAGAAAGACTCACAGTTGTAATCACAGCCAGAGGTGTGATTCTAACCTGTATTGACTCAGGGGTGTGAATACTTATGTAAATTAGATAATTCTGTATTTCATTTTCAATACATTTGCAAAAATTTCAAAAAACATGTTTTCACTTTGTCATTATGGGGTATTGTGTGTAGATGGGTGAGATGTTTTTTTTTTTGAATAAGTCAGTGGGTATGAATACTTTCTGAAGGCACTGTAAG